CCCCCCACCCCCAAATAAAAAAATAAAATAAAATAAAACAACCCCCCACACCCTTACTTACAGCAACTTACGGAGTCCGTGTTGAAGCTGAAGCAGAAGCTGGACGGTAGAGTTCAGGACATGTGCAGCCGGGCAAGCTGTACGCAGCTGTTGGTGGCTGTCGGCGTGCTGCGCAAGTCTGTTCCCAGCTTGAGCATGGCTGTTCAAACAGCTCTCAAGTACAGGAGTAACGTTGGTGCGCAGGTGTGTATAGTCGGTGCGCAGGTGTGTGTATAGTCAGTGCGCAGGTGTATGTATAGTCTATGCGCAGGTGTGTGTAGTCGGTGCGCAGGTGTGTGTAGTCGGTGCGCAGTCCGCGGGGATTTGTGCTGTCTGTACAAATGCTGTGTTTGTTATTTTTTTGTTATCATTATTATTATTGTTATCATCATTATTATTGTTAATGTCCTTATTTTTATTAATGTCCTCATTATTTTAATTATTATTATTATTTTATCATTATTATTATTGTTGTTGTTTCCATTGATTCATCAAACAAAAAGACAAAGCATATTTGGGGGATATGCTGGTCCTTGGTCCTGTCGCAAAGGTTACTGTATGGTTCGGTGGTTTGTTGGTTTACTGTCGCACCAAGGGGGGTAAGTGGGGAGAATCTTCTGTGGGATATTGTCTCCTTTCTCAGTCAAGGTTAGTCCTGTGGGTGGTTGGAGGGTGCTCTGGCGTGGTCTGCTTCTTCTTTCCTTTCAAACATTTATCGTCTTTATTATCTCTCCTCCTTCTTTTCTGTGTTTGTTACTCTCTTGTAACACCACTAATCTTCGGCACTTGTATGACCTGATTGTGTTGCAAGTGCCGTAAAACTCTTACTAAGACTAGCTTAAGGTTAGCCCTGACAGGCAGGGTCGTAAGCCTGCCTTGTAAAAACACTTACACTCATTTTTATTGAAACAGTTTAACCCTATCCTATCTGTACGTCGTGTTTTACTATCGTATCCATACGACGTGGGGGAACTCTGTGCCACCACTTTCCAAAGAGGAAATTTACTCGTTAATCCGATCCGTACGCTTTGCATAGCAGTCTGTCAACGTTATTTTTTTTAAATACTGAAAGTTTCAAAGATCAGTGTACTAGAAGTATTGTAAAATGTGAAGAATACAACCGCGGGGGTACGAAATGACCCCAGGGCCTATGGATAGGGTTAAACAATTTTTTTTAAAAAAGGTTTGTGTGTGATGTCTCCAGACTAGCAAAAATGACTTGTCTATAAATGGACTGAATCTATTGACTGTCTATAAATGGACTGAATCTATTGACTGTCTATAAATGGACTGAATCTATTGACTGTCTATAAATGGACTGAATCTATTGACTGTCTATAAATGGACTGAATCTAAGGACTGTCTATAAATGGACTGAATCTAAGGACTGTCTATAAATGGACTGAATCTAAGGACTGTCTATAAATGGACTGAATCTATTGACTGTCTATAAATGGACTGAATCTAAGGACTGTCTATAAATGGACTGTATCTATTGACTGTCTATAAGCGGACTGTATCTAATGACTGTCTATTAGCGGACTGGATATGATTAAATGTTTTTTGAAAAAAAACTGTTTGTGTGTGTGTGCTGTGTCCAGACCAGCAAGGAGTCCGTGGTGCAGGAAATGCTGAGCTGTCTGTGCAAGATCCGTGTCCTGCTGCAGTCGGGGGCCCAGGAGGCGGTGGACGACCCCACCAACAGTTTTGTCGCCGTTGTCGACAAGGTGAAGCTGTTACTTTTTTGTCTGTTTGTTACTTTTTTGTCTGTTACTTTTTTGTCTGTTTGTTACTTTTTGTCCGTTTGTTTGCGGATGTGAACGATCGAACCAACAGTCTTGTGGTCGTTATCGACAAGGTGAATGTCTTGTTGCTTTTTTGCCTGTATGTTGCTTTTTACGGCTGTGGACGTCCACATTATTATCAGAAATTTTCTCGTTATTTCCTGAGATCAGATCTTTCCCCGTTGTTATATGACAGATCTTTCCATGTTGTTATATGACAGATCTTTCCCCGTTGTTATATGACAGATCTTTCCCCGTTGTTATATGACAGATCGTTCCCCGTTGTTATATGACAGATCTTTCCATGTTATTATATGACAGATCTTTCCATGTTATTATTTGACAAAACTTTCCATGTTATTATTATTTGACAAAACTTTCCATGTTATTATTTGACAAAACTTTCCATGTTATTATTTGACAAAACTTTCCATGTTATTTTTCAACATCAAAAAGTGTCCAGGGTGTAGCATTTATATGACCTCATTGTGTTGCAAGTGCCAAAAAACTCTTGCTAAAACTAAAAAACATCATCCATGGATCAGGTGTTGGATCACCTGGGCGAGGAGCAACGATCCCCCCTTGACCAGGACATCGAGTCTGTGGTTGTCTCCCTTGTCCGTCACAGCATGGCCGTTGCTCACCACCACTGGGGCAGCTACCGCGAGCTCATCGTCACTTCCTGTCACCGGGTACGTGGGTAGAGAGAGCACGCGTCGCTGTGTAGCACACAGGGCTACGGAACACGTGTCACTATAATACTTTATTATCCCAGAAGGAAATTTTCCTTGGCTGTACGGGCCCGTAAAAACACATGCAGGTATACATTTAAAAATTTAAATTATATATTACTGTCATTAAAATTCAATATGAAAAGAGAAGTAAAGCTGACAAAATGTACATGTCACATCAGATGTATCATTCGACCTCATGCAGGAATTTAATTACAAGACCTTTGGAGTTATATATAGCTACATACTCTAGGAGCAACACACATCTATGCTCACAGATAGGCTGATTTAACAATGTCATGCTCACAGATAGGCTGATTTAACAATGTCATGCTCACAGATAGGCTGATTTAACAATGTCATGCTCATAGATAGGCTGATTTAACAATGTCAGGCTCATAGATAGGCTGATTTAACAATGTCATGCTCATAGATAGGCTGATTTAACAATGTCAGGCTCATAACTGTACCTGAACTACAACAGGGAACTGCTGCTTTTTCTTTCCTAATCCTTACTATTGTCATTTTTCCTCTACTTCTTTTGTATGTTTGTCACATTCTTGTGCCCCGCTATTTCCGGGGTGCCTTGATAGTCAAAGCAGACTTTGTACTGTTGAGGCTAGAGAGGTGAGCAGAGTAAGTCTGATTCCCCGTTTAGACTTCTCTGTTGACATCCACCCCTTGGCACTCATATGACCTTATGCAGTTGCAAGCGCCGTAAAACCTCTACTAAAAAAAAACATGTCGCTATGTAGCACACAAGGCTACGGAACTCGCGTCGATCTCAAGAAAGTAGTGATGGGAGTTTAGAATCAGACGTCACGTAATGTAGAGAAAAAAAAAATCAAATCTAAATTTGAATATGAAAAATGTTCAAATAAATCTGAATTTGAACATGAAAATGTCAAATCTCATTTCCTCAAAATCTCTACTCAAATGTCTATTCTTGTCCCAGATTTTGCAGGGCAAGTTTCGTCTTTTGGAGCTGGACAGTGCTATGAGGGACAACCCGCAGCACCACAATATCAGGTCGGTACACGGGACGTTTTTGACACACGCACGCACGCACACACACAGGCACACACACACACACACACACACACACACACACACACACAGGCACACACACATATACACACACACACACACTCACACACACACACACACATACACACACACACTCCAGTTGTACTGTATTTTTTCTATGATATTTTGCCTTTTTTTTCCCTGTCAGCAGACTGGAGTATGTGGGTGGTTGGCGGGTGCTCTGGTGTGGTTTGCTCCTTCTTTTCTATCGAACATCTATCGTCCTGATCTCGCCTCCTTCTTTTTTGTATATGTTACTCTCTTGTAACACCTCTAATCTTCGGCACTTATATGACCTTATTGTGTTGCAAGTGCTGTAAAACTCTTACTAAAACTAAAACTGTGTCTGTGGTGTAGCGGTTAGGCACTTTACTGTCACATGCAGGAGAACCCAGTTCAAATCCTGATTGGGGAGACTTTCTATCGAGTATTTCAATCTGTCTGCTGGGATGTTGTATCCCTCTCAGCCCTGGTCTGTCTGCTGGGATGTTGTATCCCTCTCAGCCCGGGTCTGTCTGCTGGGATGTTGTATCCCTCTCAGCCCGGGTCTGTCTGCTGGGATGTTGTATCCCTCTCAGTTCGGGTTGGCCCTGCCAGACAGGGTCAGAAGCCGGCCTCCTAAGTGATGGAAACTGTGTCGAATGGGGTGTAAAAACATTATGCATTAAAAAAATTATTTCTTTTCCAGACTAGAGTATGACAACACTTGTGAGACTATTCTAGACGAAGTCTGTGACCTTGAGAAGCACGTGAACATGACCTTGCTGCAGCTGATCGTGGAAACCTTCATGGAGGTGACCCAGCCTCTCGATAACCTGGTCAAGGCCGCGCTAGGGTACAAGGTATATCAGCGGGCGGTTGGTGGGTGCTCTGGTGTGGTTTGCTTCTTCTTTCCTATCAAACATCTATGGTCCTCATCTCCCCTCCTTCTTCTTTTGAATGTTCGTTACTGTCTTGTAACACCTCTAATCTTCGGCACTCGTATGACCTTATTGTATTGCAAGTGCCGTAATACTCTAACTAAAACTAAAGGTATATCTGCGGGTGGTTGGAGGGTGCCACTGCTAGATCTTACTTGATTTCTTTCCCTCTCTGTGTTTGAAGCGTGTGCCCATCTGTATCTGTCTGCTGGGACATTGTGTGGGTGGTTGGCGGGTGCTCTGGTGTGGTTTGCTCCTTCTTTCCTACCAAACATCTATCGTCCTTATCTCTCCTCCTCCTTTTTTGTGTTTGTTACTCTCTTGTAACACCTCTAATCTTCGGCACTTATGTATGACCTTATTGAGTTGCAAGTGCCGTAAAACTTTTACTAAAACTAAAACTGGGACTTTGGGGGGGGGGGGGGGAATGAAGGAAGGAAAGGGTGAGGAAGAAAGGGAGGGAGAGAGCATGTGAGTGTGAATGAAAGAGAACAGAAAGAGAGAAAGTCAGATGTAAACAGATGTCAGATAGAGGAGTGAGAGGGAGAGAGAACTGAAAGAGAGAAGGAAAGAAAATAGAAATGAGAGAGAGACAGAGAGAAATGAGTGTTATTTCCTCTGAAATCTTCACATATTTCCGTTTCTCCCCCCTACCACCCTCCCTTTCCCCTCCCCCCTTTCCCCTCCCC